TCACAGGGTGTTTCATTGTTCTGCACTGATGATCTTCCCTGAAGGGCAGAGTAACGTGGCAAAACATATCTTGTCGAAACTATTATTTACAAACAGATGACAAATTGCAAGCGATAGGAACAGCAACTTTTTTTTAAAAAAAAGTATAAAATTGCACTGAAAAATACAGTAAATCTCCTGCAGCTGAGTTGTCAAAGTAATGGTGATTTTGCAGTCTGTCAATCCATACTTCATACTCGAGGACCATCAAATTTCAAGAAGATTTATGCTATGGAGTGGTACAGGCTAGGATCCAATCTCACTTTAGATTGGATCTTGGAGGTCACAGAGAGAAGATTTCCACCCGCCAACAACAACAACAACATGCATTTATATAGCAGATGGAATTTAATGTGGGGAAGTATGAAGTTATTCACCTCGGTAGAAAAAAATAGAAAAACAGATTATTTTCTAGAGGGGGAGAGATTAGATAGTGTTAGTGTTCAGAAGGATTTGGGTTTTGGGTGTCATTTGTGCACCAGTCTCAAAAAGTTAGTTTGCAGGTACAGCAGCAACTGAGAAGGCGAACGGCATCTTAGCGTTCATTGCAAAAGGTTTAGAGTACAAGAGTAGGGAAGTCTTGCTGTAACTGTATAGGGCCTTTGGTGAGACCGCACCTAGAGTATTGTGTGCAGTTTTGGTCTCCTTATTTAAAAAAGGACATACTTGCCCTGGAGGGGGTGCAGCGTAGATTCACTCGGTTAGTTCCTGGGATGAGGGGACTGACATATGAGGAGAGGCTGAATAAACTAGGGCTGTATTCTCTATAGAGTACAGAAGAATTAGGGGAGATCTTATTGAAACATATAAGATTCTTAAAGGGCTGATAAAGTAGACACTGAGGGTTTGTTTCCCCTGGTAGGAGAATCTATAACCACGGGTCACAGTCTTAAAATTAAGGGTCAGCCTTTTAGAACAGAGTTGAGGAAACATTTCTTCACTCAGAGGGTAGTGAATTTATGGAATTCACTACCCCAGAAGGCTGTAGATGCTCAGTCCTTGAACACCTTCAAGGCTGAGACTGATAGATTTTTTAAAAATAGAGGGATTGGGGGATATGGGGATTGGACAGGTAATTAGAGTTAGGTTTGAAGATCAGCCATGATCTTATCGAATGGCGGGGCAGGCTCGAGGGGCTGAATGGCCTACTCCTGCTCCTAATTCTTATGTTCTTATAGCGCCCCTCACGCAGAGTAGCATCCCTGAGCACTTAGCTACATTAAAATACATTCGAATATACTGCACAGAAATAGGCCATTCGGCCAAATTGGTCTATGCCGGAGTTTATGCTCCGCATGAGCCTCCTCCTCAACTAAGCATAACCTTCTAGCTGAGTGAGTGAGTGAGTGAGTGAGTGAGCGAGCGAGCGAGTCAGCGAGTGAGCGAGTGATGTCTCATTCTGAGATGGATTCAACCTCAGGTTTGATAGATGGAGGACAGCGTGGTGATGGAAGTGGACCCAGGTGTCACTAATGTCTTATCAAATACAAAATTAGTTCTAAGCAAATTTACTTGTTAAGTGTTTGTGCTTCTTTGCATATTGGATATTGCTCAGAATGTCAATCAAACTTGTATACCAAAGGCATCATAGATAAAGGTCAATCTAAGGTCTAACTTGTGATTCACTGCAATTGCCAAATAACGTTGAAGCTTGACAGGTCTTTGACATTGCAGGGTTTCCACTCACAAAACCACCCAAATTAACTAACTCTTCCCTGCGATTAATTCAAAATCCATCATGCCATCTCCTACTCAAATCAATTCTTATTAGGCACCTTTATAGACTTGCAGAATGGCTCACCTTCCTCATACAATCTACAGGCAGTAAAACCTTTGAAATATCTTCTAAAGGCTTGGAATATCCAAACCATTTATCTCTTTTGTTATAATAATACTTGCATTTGATATAGTGCCTTATTGCGTCTTTGAGACGTCTCAAAGCGTTTCGCAGAATATACTGTAAAGTGAGTTAACTGTATATTTGTGGGCGAAACGCAGCAGCCAATTGCGCACAGCGGTGTCCCACAAACAGTCGTGGATTGAAGTGACCAATTTATTATTATTTTTTTGAAGGAATTATTATCATTCTTTTCACCCTTGGCACAGTTCTGCATTATGTATGGGCTTGGCAATTGAAAAACAAGGGAGTTCTATGCTAAGAGTTATGATCGTTAATGTCAGACAATTAACTCTTCGGAAGAAAAAAATATTCAACCGATAGCCTGTGCAATAAAGAAATGGCAACAGTTTGTCCAGTGATACTAATCATGTCTCTTTTTTGTGAGATTTTGTCAATACAAAACTACCTTCAACATATTGTCAACTTGTGTCTCCATCAGAGCTCTCTCCAAGTTCACGTAGCAATGACTGCGATTATCAATGAAGCTTCTTTTCATTGTTGCAATCTCTCTAACGGAAAATCTCCAACCACAATGAAATGGCACTTGGTGCCTCCAGCACATCATTTGACCAAAGTTCAACACAGGCCACGACCAAAGCAACTTTCAGTATCAACAACTTGCATTTATACAGAACCCTTCACCCTCGATAATGTCTCATAGCATTTGAGAAAGTCCAGTACTTTGGGAAAATGTTATGTAATTTCACCCAGCGTTATCACTGTCCAGCGCTCTGAGATGCGACCCCAGTCTAGAGGCACTATATAATAGAAATACATGTTCTTTTTATTTAAAAATATGAGATTCATGGTAAACCAGCAGAAAGCTTAAGCAGAAATCATTTCTTTCTTATCTCCCCCCCCACCCCACCACCCACTCTCAGCCCTCACAGCAGATATTATCCATCTAAACCAAGCCACGGAACTGAGCGAGAATGGCATCATTTGGGGAGCAAAAAATAATAATAATCCTTGCATTTGATATCGCGCTTTTCACGTCTTCTCGACGTCTCAAAGCGCTTCACAGAACACACTGTAAAGTGAACTGACTGTATATTTGTGGGCGAAACGCGGCAGCCGCTTGCGCACAGCAGTGTCCCACAAACAGTCGCGGATTGAAGCGACCAATTTATTTTTGTTTTATTTTTTCTTGAGGGATTATTATCAGGCGTGTGGAGTAAGGAAACTCGCCCAAGGTATGGCCCTGCCGGGAATCGAACCCATGTCTCTCGCTTGCGAGGTGAGTGCTCTAACCACTGAGCTACAGGACTCCTGCAAAGGCAGCTTGAGGGGTAGATACCTCTATCTGAATATTTTCCGATGACCTATTTCACCCCTAGGCACAAAGATGTTTTCACAGGCAAATCCCTAGACAGTGGGTGGGTTTGGGGGGGGGTGGGAGTCTAATCGACTTCTAAATGAGGAAACCAAGTGGTTACTCCAGCGCTAACCAGAGGTACTTCCACGCCCAAACCACAGGAAACTGCTCCGATAGTGGTCCAGGGCTGAGCGGAGTTCCCGCCAGTCGGTGTAGTTTACTTCCAGTTTCCCTTGTTAAGGAATCCAGTCAGCAAATCGCTGTGTACATTATTGGTATCAAAGTGCAACATCATCAGCACAAGAGAAAATGCACTGAAACGCGGAGGAAACAGCCGTCACATTCTGAGCAGAAATTACCTGGTACATAAGGGGAAGGAAGAGGTGGGGCTCTCTCACAACTTCATAATTTGGTCGCGCACTCCACGGCGGCTTGTGGGACGCTGTCGTGTGCAATTGGCTGACGTGTTTCGACCCAGTAAATACACAAGCTTTGCAGTGCATCCTGCAAAACGTCTCAACGACATGATAAAGGCGCTATGTCAGATGCAAGGATTATTATATGGTAACTTGTCCTGCAGGTCGCTCTCTTGTCAGGCTTGGCCTAGGCTATTTTTTTCCGCACAAAAAAAAAGAAAAACACACGCACTGCACTGCCTTTAAATCTAGATGGCTACCAGGAGACTGGAAATACAAGAAAGTGCAGTGTGAAAGCGAAGGTGTGGAGAGTGGGGAAGTAGAGGAGTGGGGGAAGGGAGGAATAGAGAAACAACATGAAGAGGGGGGGAGAAATGAGGGGAGAGAGAGAGAGAGTGAGAGAAAGAAAGGAGGGGAGAGAAACAATATGAAGCCCAGTTTAGAAGGGGTGGGGGAGGAGAGAAAGGGGAGAGGAGATCACATCCCAGTTTGGAGGAGAGAGGGGGAGAGAAAAAGGAGGGGAGGGAGGGGGAGGGAAAGAGGAGAGAAAGAGGAGATCAAATCACAATTTGGAGGAGAGAGAAATGAGGGGAGAGAGAGAGAGAGAAAGGAGAGGAGAGATCAGACCACAGTTTGGAGGAGAGAGAGGGAGAGAGAGATAAGACCACAGTTTGGAGGAGAGAGAGAGAGAGGAGAGGAGATCAGACCACAGTTTGGAGGGGAGAGAGAGGAGAGGAGAGATCAGACCACAGTTTGGAGGAGAGAGGGAGAGAGAGGAGAGGAGAGAAGACCACAGTTTGGAGGAGAGAGAGGAGAGGAGATCAGACCACAGTTTGGAGGGGAGAGAGAGGAGAGGAGAGATCAGACCACAGTTTGGAGGAGAGAGAGGGAGAGAGAGGAGAGGAGAGAAGACCACAGTTTGGAGGAGAGAGAGGAGAGGAGATCAGACCACAGTTTGGAGGAGAGAGAGAGGGAGAGAGAGGAGAGGAGATCAGACCACAGTTTGGAGGAGAGAGGAGAGGAGATCAGACCACAGTTTGGAGGAGAGAGAGGAGAGGAGATCAGACCACAGTTTGGAGGTGAGAGAGAGGGAGAGAGAGGAGAGATCAGACCACAGTTTGGAGGAGAGAGAGAGGGAGAGAGAAGAGAGGAGATCAGACCACAGTTTGGAGGAGAGAGAGAGGGAGAGAGAGGAGAGGAGATCAGACCACAGTTTGGAGGAGAGAGAGGGAGAGAGAGGAGAGGAGAGATCAGACCACAGTTTGGAGGCGAGAGAGAGGGAGAGGGAGAGAGAGAGGGGAGATCAGACCACAGTGTGAGAGAGCCTTACCTTGGGAAGCTCCCGCAGCTGGTTGGCGTCCAGTAGCAGCTCCTCGAGGCTGCGGCTGTAGCGGTAGATGTCATCGGGCACCGCCACCAGCGAGCAGTGCCTCTTGTCCACCGTCTCCACGTGCCGGTTACAGCGCCAGAGCGGGATACAGTGGAACATGGTCCGGGGGACCAGGAGAGGAGAGGAGAGGAGGGGAGGGGGTGATGGGAGATGGCGGGTCTTTGGGTATCACCGGCTTCTCTCCTGGGGACAGCTCCCCACCTCCTGCTCCGCAGCAACAACAACAACAACAGCCCCACAACAGCAACAACAACAACAGCCCCAGCGGCCGGGGTGGCGGCGGGGGGAGGGGGTCGGGGTGGGTGGCGGGGGGTGGGGGGTGGGGTGGGGGGGAGAGAGGCTCTCAGTAATCCACCAGCACTGCCTCTCTTTTAAAAATAAATCACACTAAGATATATAATACACACACACATATATATATATATATATAATTATTTACATGTGTATAAAATATATACAGATTTTTTTTCCCCCCCTCCCACCCCCCACACCCCCTCCCACCCCCCACACCCCCTCCCACACCCCACACCCCCTCCCACCCCCCACACCCCCCCTCACCCCCCAAAAAAATAGTCAATACACTGTAAACCCCTTTTTGTCTCACTGTGGCTTTTTCTTTCTTTCTTTCTCTTTCTCCTCTGGTCTCCTTGTTTCCTTCTCTCTCTCTCTCTCTCTCTCCTTTTCTCCTCCTCCTCTCTCCTGCTTTTGTGTTGGAAGGAGTTTATATATATATATATATATATACAATATATATTTTTGTATATTATTATATATTATATGTTATATATATATATATATATAGAGGTGACAGAGGTCAATAAGAGAAATGATGTCCAGTTTTTTCTCTCTTCTTTTGTTCGTCTCCTCTTCCTCCTCTCTCTGTGGTGTTACTTTTTTCTCTTCTTCTTTTATTCCAGGTTTACACTGCCAGGCTCTCCTCTCCTCCTTTTTCACACTCTCTCTATCTCTCTCTTTCTCTCTCTCTCCTCTCTCTCTCTCTCTCTCTCTTTCTCTCCTTTTTCCAGACTCTCCTCTGATTTCCTTCTCTCCCTCTCTCTCTCTCTCTCTGTGATTTTTCTCTCTCTGATTTCTCTTTCTCTCTCTCTGATATCTCTCTCTCCCTCTTTCTCTCTCTCTTTCTCTCTATCTATTTCTCTTCTTTCCCAGGTTTTCCTTCCTTCTCTCCTTCTCTCTTTCTCTCTCTCTCTGTGATTTTTCTCTCTCTGATTTCTCTCTCTCTCTGTGATATCTCTCTCTGTGATATCTCTCTCTCTCTCTGTGATATCTCTCTCTCTCTCTCTCTGTGATATCTCTCTCTCTTTCTCTCTCTCTTTCTCTCTATCTATTTCTCTTCTTTCCCAGGTTTTCCCTCCTTCTCTCCCTCCCTCTCCCTCTCCCTCTCTCTCGTGTCTCTCCCGGGCACTGATTTCCTCTCTCCTCTCTCCCTCTCTCTGTCTGTTTTCTCCTTCCCCCTCTCTCAGGCTCTGCTCTGCTCTCTGATCTCCTTTCCTCTCTTCTCTCTCTCTCTCTCTCTGTGGTTCCTGAACCGGAACCTGCGCTCCCACATCGCAGCTGACGTCAACACTCCCACCGCTCTCCCTCCATCTCCTCACACTCACCCCTCACACCCCCTCACACTCACTCACACCCCCTCACACTCCCTCACACTCACCCCTCACACTCACTCACCCCTCACACTCCCTCACACTCACCCCTCACACTCCCTCACACTCACCCTCACACTCACCCCTCACACCCCTCACACTCACCCCTCACACTCACACTCACCCCTCACACTCACCCCTCACACCCCCTCACACTCACTCACTCTCACTCACCCCCTCACACTCACTCACTCACACTCACTCCCTCACACTCACTCCCTCACACTCACTCACACTCACCCCCTCACACCCCCTCACACTCACCCCCTCACACTCACTCACTCACACTCACCCCTCACACACTCACTCACTCTCACTCCCTCACACTCACTCACTGACCCACACTCACCCCCTCACACTCACTCACACTCACCCCCTCACACTCACTCACACTCACCCCCTCACATTCACTCACACTCACACTCACCCCCTCACACTCCCTCACACTCACCCCCTCACACTCACTCACACTCACCTCCTCACACTCACTCACACTCACCCCCTCACACTCACTCCCTCACACTCACCCCCTCACTCTCACTCACACACTCACTCACCCCCTCACACTCACTCACACTCACCCCCTCACACTCACTCACACTCACTCCCTCACACTCACCCCCTCACACTCACACCCCCTCACACTCACTCACACTCACCCCCTCACACTCACCCCCTCACACTCACACCCCCTCACACTCACTCACACTCACCCCCTCACACTCACTCCCTCACACTCACCCCCTCACACTCACTCACTCACACTCACCCCCTCACACACTCACTCACTCTCACTCCCTCACACTCACTCACTGACTCACACTCACCCCCTCACACTCACTCACACTCACCCCCTCACACTCACTCACACTCACCCCCTCACATTCACTCACACTCACCCCCTCACACTCACACTCCCCTCACACTCACTCACACTCACCCCCTCACATTCACTCACACTCACCCCCTCACACTCACACCCCCTCACACTCACTCACACTCACCCCCTCACATTCACTCACCCCCTCACACTCACTCACACACTCACTCCCTCACACTCACTCACACTCACCCCCTCAAACTCACTCACACTCACCCCCTCACATTCACTCACACTCACCCCCTCACACTCACACACTCACCCCCACACTCACCCTCTCACACTCACGTATACACTCACCCCCTCACACTTACAACAACAACAACAAGATTCCATTTATAGAGCGCCTTTTACGTCGGGAGGACATCCCCCCTCACACTCACCCTCTCACACTCAAACACACACTCACCCTCTCACACTCACACACTCACCCCCTCTCACTTACACACTCACCCCCTCACACTCACTTACACACTCACCCTCTCACACTCACCCTCTCACACTCACTTACACACTCACCCTCTCACACTCACTCACCCTCTCACACTCACCCACTCACACTCACCCTCTCACACTCACTCACCCTCTCACACTCACTCAGCCTCACACACTCACCCTCTCACACTCATCCTCTCACACTCACCTAGATACTCACACTCAACCTCACTTGCACACTCACACTTACACTCACATTTACACACTCACTTACACACTAACTCACTCACACTTGCACACACATACACACACACACTCCGAGTTACAGTCATATACACACACACACGCACTCCGACTTACACTCACATACACACTCACGTACACACACACTCACATACACACTCACATACACTCACACATACCCTCACATCAACTCACACACACTCACATACACACTCACATACACACACACTCACACACACTCCGACTTACACACTTAGACTCACATACACACACACTCATACACACACACACGTACACATATACTCACACATACACTCACATCAACTCACACACACACACACACTTACACACTCACACACTTACACACAGACTTACACACTCCCACACACTTACACACTCAAATACATTCAGTTACACACTCACACACTTACGTACATAAACACTCACACACACACACACACACACAGCAATAACAAGAGGGAAGCTACACAGATACAGTGTTCACAAACGATCGAAGCTCTCCCTCTCGCACACTGACCCACTGCACCCCCCCCGCCCCCCCCCCCGCCCCCCACCCCCCGCCCCCCCCCCCCACACCACCCCCCCACACACATACCTTTACTACGTCTCTCTCAATGACTGATCCTTTTATTCTCCCGTTCCTCTCTGCAGCCCCAACCCTCTTGTTTGCAACGTTACCCGACTGCAGCACTCGGAATCAGGAAATCCTCCTTTTTTATTACTATTATTTATTTTATTTATTTATTTAAATGTACAATCTTTGATATACTGTGTATATCTGCATAAAAGATTGCCTCGTTCCAGGTGAGGTCAAGAGACATCCTCATTTCATTCATCTTTTATATACATATATATATATAGAGAGAGAGAGATGATCTTTAATATATATATATTAGTTATATATACGCATGATTGCTTCTTTGTAAATGGGACTGGGAGAGTGTGTGAGGTTTCTTGGTGAACAAGTTAACAAATACTGATCCGTCTGTCCTGTTGTTGAGCTGACAATGTTGTCGAGAGATGACACTGCTATGGAATAGAGCAACTAATACCCCGGTCTCTGGCTGACACGGCCTAAATGCCAATGGATGTTAAGCCACTGCTGTTGAATTGCCCTATGGTTATTGAACCCAACCCGGGTAGAGCACCATCTACTGACTGCACTTGTGTGCAATAGTTCGCTCGCCCTGTGGTTATGAGATGATCATATTTTACTGCGCTGACCCTTGCATTTCCTTTAGCGCCCCATCACACTGTTGAAATGGCTCCAAGCGCTTCCCAGGGTGCAGTGACTGTGTATTTGTAGGTGGGGTGAACGCAACAGACAATAAGCGCGTAGCAATGTCCCGCGGACCTGGTTCAGCTGATAATTCAAGCCCCACATCGGGACTTTGAACTCAGTCGGCACTGACACCAAATCGAGTGCTGAGGTGTCGTCCTTCAGATGAAAATAGAGTCAGGTCAACCCTCTCTGTTTAGGTGGACATTAAAGATCCATAGCATGACTCAACATACAAAAGAGAAGGGAGTTTCTCCTGGTGACTTGGCTAACAATCCTTCGGATAAAATTGGTCATTCACTTCATGGCTGTTTGTGGGACACTACTGTGCAGAAATCAGCCGCTACGTTTGGCTAAAAATAATAATAATCCTTTCATTTGGTGATAATAATAATGGTAAAGCACCTTTCACGTCAGGAGCACCTTTCACGTTTCAAAGCGCTTCATAGGATACACTGCAAAGCGCAGTGACTGTCTGTTCTGTAGGCAACTGCAGAGGTAGGTTTTTAGGAGCCTCTTGAAAGCAACGTGTGAGGAAGAGGGATTATGAGAGAGAGTTTCAGAGAGTAGAGGCCGGGTGGCTGAAAACTCGCTCGCAAATTCTGCAAAACTTGCAGAAACTTACAACCGTTCGGTGGGGCAAGGGTCCAGAGACACTTCACATCTGGTTGCATTTATATAGCGCACTGCACGCAGGATAGAGTCTCAGAATGCTGCCTGAAAAAGTTATAACAAGGA